GTACTTCTTTACATCGTAAGCGTGATCTTGTTTAGATGGTTTCTTGGAATGCATTGGAGACATCGAAACTGTGCGTATTGAAAAATAAAAACCTATTGCCATCAAAAGAAGTATACAGCGTGCTGTGTGTTGCGGAGCTGGACCATTCCTCATATCTTTCCTTGCTTCGAGGATGATTTCGAGTAGGCTGGAGACATTATTGATGCTGTGCGTAGAAATGTACAAGTAAAGGAAGTACTAGGCCGTACTCATCTCTATACCGGCTCTAGATTGGTCCAGCATAATAAGAGTCGTATTCCCAAACAGTAGCACATACTACTTCTCCCATGAGATACTACTCTTCTTGATACCTTTATCCAAAAGCATCCACATAACCTCAGTAAGTCCGACTCAACGGTGAGAAGCTGAAGTTTGTACATGTGCTGCGAAATTGCTTTATAGACGCCAAAGCTGGTTCCAAGAGAACCGCGACCCGAGGTCAAATGCCTTGCTCGCATGTTGATCAGGCGTGTGCTTCGATCTACCGCGAGTAGGATTATTCACACAGGCCCCAACCAATGTCGTCTGGCAAGGTTCTATTTGGGTGTCGTCTGCATCATATATTAGCATGTTATTCCTGCTGATCCTGCATAGCGACCAAGTGACATACCTCTCAACCTCCCATCTTCCCAGCCAGAACAAGAAGTGGATGGTCTTAGGGACCAGGAAATAGGCGAGCATTCTCAACGGTAGTTGTCTATCTGCGCAGCTGTCGAAGAAAACATTGAGCAACTTTGTCAAGTATTTTGGTAACAATATTTCAGTGGACGATGTGAAGCCGAAGTCCTTTTGTGTCCTGCGAAATTGCTGGACGTGTATACCTAGAAAGGTACGGTCTATAGGAAAGGTACGACCCTGCAATGAGGTAAGAGACATAATAAGCTTGGATGTAATATGTAGTAAATCCAATCCCTCCAACAGTCTCATGCCCATATCTTAGGTACTCGCTTCACTGCGGATATCTCGCTGGTAGAGGTACGAGACGAGAGTCCGATGTAGACGGTGGTATGTGACAGCGAAACAGCTTGCCTCTAGTAAACAATCGACGTAGTGATTAGAGAAATATCATGGATTGATCATTGGAAGCGAGAGACAGAGAATAAGATATGAGGGATGGATATACACAAGGGAGAAAGGCAAGGAAACAGGCCTCAGATAGCTGCAACAGATGGGATACCGGTAGCAGAGACATGGTTTTGATACCCTACTTAGTCATTCCATATTGTAAAAATTGAAATATTTACTAAAGCTCAAACCGTCTCTCAAACTGCTATTACACATGGTCCAGCGAAGCAAGGGAAAAAAAACACTCAAAAAACACCCCGGAGAAACATTGAGCGCCAACAGGACAAAGATCGCTCCACCCGGCACTGAGAAACCACCTATGCAAGACCGGCACGAGTGAAATGTGAGAAGAGACTTCGTATGGAGAAGAAGTAGATGGATTGAATTGAACAAATGTGTAAAAAGAATATAAGCGATCTGAAAGAGAGGTCGAAGCAACCACACAAGACGCCGCTGTCATCACTTCATGAACGAGATTGACTATGGCTGAGATCCGCTGGCTGAAGAGGGAGAGGCTCCAGGGACCGAGGCATTCCCGAGGGCTGAACTTGCGCTCGTGGGCATTCTAGCCCCAGGGGCCGGACTGGCACTTCCGCCATCGGGGTTGGTAACACCGCCACCAGTCTTGGTTAGACGCTCTTCGACGCGCTCCTTGTGCTGCCGGTTGCGGAGATGGACTTCAAAGTTGTCCACTGTCATGCCCGGGCCGGGGGTGTACAGCTTTCCGGGGCAGTCGTGGCAACGAATACGGGGGAGGTATTGGTATTTGATATTTTGACCAGCCTGGAGGTTGTTGGGATTCGCCACGGGAGCCAGGGTTTCAGTATCGACCGCGGAATAACGCATCACACCTTCGAAGGAATCGTTGGGGTGAGATTGTTTCAACTTGCTGAGACCAGCGGCCAGCCAGTTGGGTGGTGGGGGCTGCATAGGCACAGAGTCAGCCACGGGCCAAGAAACTGGGGTTAGAATCTACTCACGCCAGAGACACCAGGCTGCGGAGGGTTCGGTGCATCAACAGCACCGGTTTGTTGGGGTCGCGCCGGAGGATGAATTCGGGATTGTTTATCGGATGGAGGCGCCATCGTGCGCGGTGGCTGTCCTACGCTGGATTGAGCGGAGACAATGCGCCTTCCGTTCCGCAGATCGACGAGCTTGTCACGCGAAATCTTGAATCTCACTATCAACTTATCAGAGTCATCCACACTCTCTTCTCGATATTGCTGTCTTCGGGCCGAGACTCGGGGCTCGTGGTACACTGGTTCAGGGGTTGCAGATTGTCCAAGGCTGGCGCGAAGCGCGGCATGGGCTGCAGATGCCGCGCCTCTCATGCCTCGAGTACGAGCAGTACCCTGTGCGAGGTTGGGTCCAATTGCAGGAGAGCCAACAGAGGAGTCGTCGCTATCAAACTCGTCTGAATCATCATCTCCCCGGTTTCCAGTCATTCCACGACGGCGGCTGGAACCGGTACGCTTGATCACATTGCTTTCATCCATGGAGCCCACTGAGTTGGGTATCACAGATGAAACAATCATGGTACGAATCGTGCGTTGACGGTCCTTGAGATCCGGCAGAGCAGGGCCACCACGACGGTTAATTGACCGTTTCTGGCGACGTTGCTCTCGGGATATTGAGATTTCAGTCCGTTCAAGATCTGCCTCGTTCAACTCATAAAGATAGGGCGTATGCTCTTTGGCGGATTGGTATGGTCGGAAGGCAGAAGCCACAGGGGTGGGGAGGAATGAGGCATGGAGGTCTGGGTCTTCGATTGGACGGCCATCGAATGGGTGAGCGACAATGTACAAGGATTTGGTGAAGAGTTGGGACTGTTCGCGAATTGAATGGGCGATGGCGGTGGTGAATTCACCGGAGAGGGATAGATCATCCGTCATGCATAATGCAAATTCTTCGGGAGAATTATTGGGATCATTGATATCCCACTCAAACTGGTCAATGAGGGTGTGTTGGCCAATGGTGATGTTGAGCTTGACCGAAATGCGCATCTCGTCGTTTTTGTACGCGGTGTAGGGTAGCTGAGGATCAAGAGGGTCTTCGTGTATGTTGAGGTGCGGGTAATAATCTATCACCTGCTCCTGGATGCTCTGGGAGATCATTCTCGCCAAAGGGACGGAGCTCTCTACTGCGAGACCCATGTCTTCGACCAGCTTCTCCGCGAACAAGTCCGGAGACACAACACGATCATGAAGGTTCCATGTGAAAGTGTCGCGGATCTTGACTTTTTCCCAATCAATGTCCAAGCGAATAGGGACCAGATCCTCCATCTGTTCGCTCTGCGTCTTTGCGTCACGTCGTGAAACACGTAGTTCTCGCGTCTTTCTATTTCCAGGCCGGCGTCGATGGGTTGGATAGAGAAGTTGAGGGTGTTGATTGCGAAGGTCGGTACGGGGGTTTCCAAATCCCTCATAGCCCACACCATACAGTGCAGCTGGGTTTAACTGATTTTCGCGTCGTACTCCCAAATAGAAGTCGCGTTCCGCTCGCTTACTCTTTTGTAATTCCTGGCTTGGATTGTGCCAGGCAGCTGCGGCCGAGTGTTGGAATTCGCGCTCAACGTACTGCGCCAGGAGAATCTTCTCCAGTGGCGGTTCGCGGGCGCGTACGGCCATGGTCCCGGAGACATCTGTAGATTGAACAGCAGATCCATCATGGGATCTCTTTCTTGCGGAACCATGTGTCCCATTTGAGCGAGGCGTGCCATTGGAAGCCTCACTGCCGGGTTCCGACGAGGATGACACCCCGGAAGCAGCTAGCATGGCCTTTGCGCTTTGCTTTCCTTCTGCAATTGTATCTGGCATATGACCATTTATTGATCGGCTTGTCCCAAGGTCGATGCTGTCTGGACCTTGCTCCCCCGTGTCCGACGCGCCAGAGCTGGTCTGGGCACCAGACTGAGGGTCCCCGAGTGATTGCTCTGAGGGCAGCGAGCCACCCGTCACTTCAGGGGATGGCATCGTGGATGGTTTATTGAATGCGAAACGAACGTCTGATGCCACTCGTATGATCTTCGAAGCTCGGAGTGGCTCTCAACGCGACAGGGATAGGTTCGGGTCGGTTACCGTAGCATTATGTTATGGGATGGAACCTGTCCATGCGATCAAATTATAATTAGTACGTGTTTTCAGATAGTACCCTACCATCCATCACCGTCGCGGCCGTGTATCCAATGTCACCTGGGGGGATGAGCTTGATGGATGAATATGTCGCAACGGGCGCATGTCCCGAACACGCCACAAGTCACCAGTTGAGGGTGTGTAACGGATTGAATGGGGACATCACATGGAAATTATGGACAGGAAAATCAAGTGGGAAGGAATTCGAACATACCAGGGCCGAAGGGGGGAGAGAGCTCTCGCCGATGTTTCGTGAATGGACCAGTCGGGAGTTCCAGCGCAGAATCCGCTCCGGATCGGTTGGAGCCAAGTCAGCTGACCTTCTTCAATCGATTGTGATGATCCCAATCGACGCGATTTCTTCCCCGGAAAATTGTTTTAAGCTGGGGGAGTTGTGGTAGTTGGTCTGTTTTTTTTTAAAAGCCGTGATGGTGAAAGAGGCAAAGGAGAAGGAGGGAGAGTACCCGTTACAAGTGTCCGCACCCGTCTAAGATCAGGCAAAGAAACGTGCCCACTCTACATGTCCAACAACCACAAAGGGATTATATACTAAGATATAAGTCTACATTTTGAAGATATTTTGAGGTTATTCCCACTCATCTATGGGCTCCAGGCCAACCTATGACCCCGTTTACCAATTTTACATACTGTCATGTGATCCACGTGTGTGTTACATAATGTTCTGTCCCCCGAGGTCCCGACCTCGGAAGGTCCAGGTATCTCTTAGCCTATTCATAGTCTAAGTACAAATGTATCTATTAGACTTTAGAGAGTCAAATCCACAATAACCGCCCGATGATCTGAGCACAATACACCATCGTCGAACCGATTCCCTAGCACTGCATACCCAATGACTGCTAATCCCTGACCTTCAGTTGCGGGTTTCACCAGAACATAGTCAATACGGGAGGCTGGCTCATCCTCGTAACCAAACCCGGTCCAAGTAATGTGGTTACCATATCGTCTCGAGCTTTCAACTTCCTTATATGCATCAAGCAAGCTTTTTGTTGCCTCTTGGTAAGCTTCCTGGTTCTCTTCGCTGTTGAAATCACCAGTCAAGAAAGTGCCGGAGATGAGCTTTGCGAATTTGTTCTGGCTGTACTCAGAAATCTTCCCGAGAATGATACGCGCAGCTTCAAGACGAGATTGAGACCCCTGGTCATCGAGATGGGTGTTCATGGCAAGGACCGTATTCCGAGTAGCTCGATGGGTGAAGACACCAATGGTGACAATGCGGATGGAGGATGCGTCCCAACTCTTGGACGGCTTTTCGGGTGTTTTGGATAACCACACTGTCTCCCAATGTAGTAACTCCCAGACTGCTGGTCTGTAGATGATAGGAGAGTATTCCCCGGCCTCATGGCCATCATCTCTGCCAACGCCGATATACTCCCACTCTGGTGCTTCGGGCTTTGCGTCCTGATTCAATCCAGCCAGGATTTCACCCAGTTGGTTATGAAGAACTTCTTGCAGGCAGACGAAGGTTTCTCCACAATGACGAGTCTCATATTCAAATTCATTCAACAGCAATTGTTTGCGTTCAGCCCAGGGCTTTTCGCCTTTGAATGGAGACGAGGTTGCATGTCGGATATTGTGCGTCAAAACCCGGATGGGAAGTTTGGTAGAACTCATAGTGTGGAATACAGAAAACTAGGGGATTAAACTACCAACAATGGTGTAGTACATCCAGGGATATGTAGCTATGTCGTGGGTTTACAACTGAGGGGAACGTTGCAATGCCTCAGGCTACTACTATACTTGAGACATGCCACAGCAACAGGGCCCACTTCCAGTCACGGCCCTAGAGGCTATGTACATAGCACATGGATGTAGGTAGGTATCTAACAGACAACCGTTACCCCCACATGTAAAAAGTCGTTTTATATGTAAGGATTATGCTTTTCGCGGGCCTACAGTTAGCGGTCAGTGGTTCGTCTTTTTGACTACAACGCTGTAGAAGGAAGAGAAGATATTGAAAAATGTGATCAAGTAGACCCAAAAAGACATTGAAAACATAAAGTTTATTAAATTATCTCGAGTTAACTGGATATTCATTGCGGCCACCGCCACTGAGCCCCTTGGCCCATGGTATCTAAGAAATAAGCCTCTACGATCCTACTGATATGGGCTGGGTATATATATATCCCTGAGCTTTTTAATACTTGAAGTAGGTTGAGCTTGTTTGACATATGGGGACTGAACATGTCGAGTATATCCATACATTTGCATATCACTTTCTTCGACTCCAAGATGTATATGGGGGCTTTATGCTAAATTTTGACCCTCGAATAGCAAATAGCAAGGATGAAATCCCGGTTACATGGATATTCTTCCCAGAGATGCATAAGAGGGGAAACACAGGTCAGGTGAGAGGTTAGGCGGGATTGGAGTAGACTGGAGGTCTGAGCGATCCTGGGTTGTGGCGGAATCCGGGGTATCAGAGGAGATATTCACGGTCTATATAGCAATAGAAACGCTAAATTCACCTAGACAGACCATAGTAATATGTTTCCTTCACTGGAACCAAGGGCGTAGCTCAGTATGAAGTCAAGGGAAGGATTGCCATGACGTCTTCGGCAAAGCCCTAGGCGGGCCTGAAACATCAGGCGACCACCCCAACCCCACCAACGCTAAACGCCCTACGCTCTCTGCACACGACTCGATCTCGGTCCATTCCTCTCCTCTAGCTTCACACGGATTTACGATCCGATCACTTTTTTTGAAACCACTTGCATTTACTTGTTAATTACAGCTCCACGAGCTCAATTCACTACACAATGGCGGAAGTTAAAGCACCCGAGGTTGGTATGTAAACTTCATGGAAAGCTCTGACGTTTGTGGGCACTGAGCCCAATATGGGCTATGAGCTCGCTGGCACTCACCACAACAAAGAAAACATGTTCGATCCATGGACCATGACTAATTATGCGATTTGTTCTAGATTACACCCTCAACAACCCCGATACCTTGACCAAGTACAAGACTGCTGCGCAAATTTCTCACAACGTCCTTGACGCTGTTCTCGGTATGTTGCGCAAGCGCTTCTGTGGTCTTCCTTTGTGATCTAATATCTATATAGCTCTTTGCGTGGAGGGAGAGAAGATCGTCGAGATCTGTCAGAAGGGTGACAAGCTCCTCGACGAGGAGATTACCAAGGTCTTCAAGGGCAAGAAGATTACCAAGGGTTGGTCCAACCCCCTCTCCACCTCATTAGTGGCAGAAGAACCACATGAACTGATCGTAATATGTAAATTAAGGTATCTCTCACCCCACCACTGTCTCCCCTAGCTCCTATGTGACTCCCTACACCCCTCTGTTGTCCGACGCCGCCGAGGCCGAGATTACTCTGAAGGCCGGCGAGCTCGTCAAGGTCCAGCTCGGTGCTCAGATCGATGGATTCGGAACCATCGTTTGCGACATGGTCGTTGTTCCCAAGAAGGACGGCCCCAAGGAGGTTGTTACCGGACGTGAGGCTGATCTCATTGCCGCTACCCACTACGCCAACGAGGTCCTCCTGCGTCTCATGGTTCCCCAGGGTCTGTTGGCTCAGGGTACCGATGAGGAGAAGAAGAAGGCCGCGGCCAAGAAGGCCCCTACTCAGGCTTACATGTCTTCCCTGCTCGAGAAGATCGCCAAGACCTACGACTGCAATGTCGTCGAGAACACCACCAGCTGGATGTTCGGCCGTAACGAGATTGAGGGCGAGAAGAAGATCATTCTCTCCCCCGGCAACGGTGTCCGCGGTGACGGTGTCCCCGAGGTCGGTGAAGTTTGGGGTGTTGAAGTTGGCCTCAGTCTGGGATCCGGCAAGGTCAAGAACCTCGACCACCGTGCTACCCTGCACCGCCGTACCACCACCACTTACGGCCTGAAGCGCCCCAGCTCCCGCCAGACTCTGTCTGAGGTTGTCAAGAAGTTCGGCACTTTCCCCTTCAGCTTGCGCCAGCTTGATGACGAGAAGGCCGCCAAGGTCGGTGTTGTCGAGTGTGTTCGTGGCGGTGTCCTGCGCCAGTACGAGCCCGCTGGCGAGACTGACGGTTCCCCCGTCTCTCGTCTGCTGACCACCGTTGGTAAGTACTGTTGAATTTGCGTGGAGATGATTTGGACCCATAAGCTAACCCTACTCACAGCCATCACCAAGAACGGTCTCACCAAGCTCGCTGCGGCCAAGCCCCTCGATCCCGAGCAGGTCAAGTCTGACAAGAAGATCGAGGATCCCGAGATCCTCGAGATCCTCGAGCAGCCCCTTGCCCGCTCTACCGGTAACAAGAAGAACAAGAGCAAGAAGAAGGCCACCAAGACCACCGCCGGTGAAGAGTAAATATGAGTCAATGCTCTCAACAACCTTCCCCTGGTCATCATTTTCATGCAATACACTTTGATATGGTGTAGGACTTATTGTCCAATCTGAATGCAAAACCGATATCCAATGACGAGCCTCACTGCCGGTCATACGAAATCTATCCAAAAACAAAAGAAGAATACTTGATTTTTCCAATGACATGCGACAGGGCTGGCAATCCAACCCATTTTTTGGAAACCTCGGTATATACTTTATCGACGAGCTTGGCGCCGGGAGATCCTCTTCTTGTGCTTTTCCTTGGAGGCCTGTCCATCATGTATGTAGCAATTGGAGCAGACTCCATGGACCAAATCAAGACGTTGCCAGTCTGTACTCATTTGTATTGTAAACCTATATGGAGGCATCCGCTCCCGGTGGGTGAGACAGTAGTAGCCATTGTAGTTCTCTATTGCTTGCATATATTCTTGTCCATGTCGAATCAATCTGTAATTTGTTGCAGCTTGTTGCTCGAGGAAAAGTCAAAACTAAATACATGTGCAATTCCATCGTCGACTACTCAATGAAAGAAAGCCACGGAAGGCTCACCTACAGACATTTGAACATCGCTCTTCCATGGTATCCAATGTTAGGGCCCCATCCTAAGCTACCTATGTAGATGATGTTGTCTACTGGCTAGCAATAACAGGGAATCGGTCTGTCACAACTTGCTGGTTGGTGTAGAATCTTGATGCAGCAATATAATCACGAGCTCCGTCTCGTTCCTGTTGACTGTCGATTCCCCTGAGACACAACAGAATCTTGGCTTTTGGCGTATCTACAGAATATAGCCTATCCTAGAGCCATTTCCCTGTGAGACATGCATATAATGATCAATTTATATCTATCTCCTAAGGTCAATATGGAGCATGTCTACTTGCATGGGTGCCTGAGAGTGTGTCTACACAACCAGGTTAGGTACAATAGAGCTGAGACTGAGCAAGCATTGAAGTTTTATACACAGGCAGACTCGCAGTCTCAATAAATCAACAGATCAATAGATCAATGTAAGAGGTATTGTTCTCGTAGGCATCTCGAAGGAAACACCCTGGTGGCACAGGGTGTCGAGCAAGACGCGACATGTCACCTAGACTCGTGTTTATTCTATTGTTCCCGTTTGTTCTCAATGAAAGGAACAATAACGTTGACCCAAAAGGGAAGGCCCCCCATTCTCGCAGAGTATTTATTCCCTCCCACTTCTCTTCTTCCTCTTCCTCTTCTCTTCTATCTTCTTCTCCACGTTCAATTCATTTCGTTACCTCACCGTTAAAAATGGATACCGTTCGAGAGACCGTGCGTCGAGTCTCGAGGCGTCTTCTCAACAAGAAGTGTAAGTGATGATCCTCCATCTACCCCAGTCCCCTCCCCTGATATCCAGCCACGTCTGTAACGCTGATATCGCGTTCCCTCTGTGCAAACTGAAAGATTCTCCTATGCCATGCACCTCTGTATCATGTTGCCCTTGCCCTTGTCCCCAGTCTCATGTCCCCATGTCACTATGTCCTTACTCCTGTTATGACTGAGGTACAACGCCTCATCTGCCTCTCGACTTGTACATTTCTCAAGCAAAGAGGAGTGGCCTTTCTATGCCACTTCTCTCATGTCATGGATTGCCTTGTCATTGGTCCAGTCACTTCTGAGACGGGATGTGCTCTGTCATTTGGTTCACTGAGCCCTGTGGTGGATGAGACAACATACTCCCCTCTTCCTCCCCCAAACTTTCAGTCACTTATATTATTGATTCCACCATTTCCTTTTTCTCAATTTCATATGAATGATACTTGCTCTGTGTATCTCACTGATCTGATCACCGATCAGTTCTGAGATGAGGGAGAACGAGATGTTGCCACCTTCAGGTGAAACTGAGAGATTTACCCCACACTTTTTTTTTAACTCACTTCCAAGATGAGAACAAACACTGACTTTTATGAATAGCCGAAGCCGAAAAGGCAATCAAAGAGAAGCAGGATGAAGCTGCTGCCCAGTACGTTGACCTCGACAAGTTAGGGCATGGAGTGCGTGGCACTAACTCTACCAGACCCCTTCCGCCTGCCCCTACGGGGTCCACCCACTCCGAACGCCGTCAGGGCTCTTCCCAACCCGCGCAACGACGGAAGCTTCAGAAGAAGCCCCCGGGCACTTCGAAGCCCCCCACCACCCCATTTCGGACAATGAGACCGATCGGGGAATACCCATCGACCTCGGAGTACCGAGCTGCTGGCGTTGCTCCTCCCTCTGAACGGGCGCAACGCGTCGCGACCGTGCCGACCACCGTCCCGCTCCATGAAGCTGA